CCCCAAAACCCCAAAACCCCAAAACCCCAAAACCCCTTTTGGATAATGGAAAATTGGAATTTTGAATTTTGTTAATAAAATAGATATGGAAATATGTTTAGTTGAATGTGAGCAGGGTGGGGTTGGTTATCTCTAAATTTATTAGCTTATATGTTTACTGTTGTCAGAATTTCTGTTGCTTCTTCTGCGAGAATATGGGTAGAACATACTTGGTCCTTCATTCATAATGTATCTATTCGATGTCTTCCTAACAATGATGGTTAGACATTAACATAGGGATGAAATTTAAAGCTCAACACATCTATGGTGAAGTCATATTCGCTATCTTTGTATCAAAAAAATCATAACAAAGTAATCATAATTAAATTGTATATAAATAGTGCACAGAAACCTTGAGTCAACTACACTTTAGAATAATCAGCACAAATTTCTCACTTTAGCTTAGAGACAGCAGAGGATCTGATAGATCTTGAGTTAGGAGTTCTGACTAACTTTGTATTTGAAACTAGAGTTATTAAGAATCGTTAAATACCTCTGGAATCATTTCTTATTTTAGATCTTTCAAGATTATTATTGGATAGTTTCTACGCAATAATCAATAAGAATTACTCATTTAGGCTCTTTCTGTGGCTTGGATCTTGGTTTAACTTTAATTTTGATAGTTTTAGACTTTTTGGATCAAAATCTCTTTCAGGTGAGGATGATCGATACGATAAAATTGACCAACACCATTCAAAGAATAAGGATGATTCATACAACTCCTCACATATGAAAGAATCCTCTTGTTCTTAACTCACTTGTTGGTTTTATAAATGCTAGGTATATAATCAGAATCATCAGAAGAAATTGCTCAAATAACAAATCTTGGAAGTTCAAAATATTACTAGCAAAAGGTCTTACTATCACTTTCCAAGTAAATATTCCAATGCAGATAAGGAGGAAAGTGATAACCTGCTGTATTCCATGGTTCCATCTAAAGATCAGCAAGCTTGATAATGCTAATCTCCTTATGAGCAATAGAAAATGGTCCATAACTAAAGATCTCTTTCCTGCTTTAAAATCTTCGAGAAGAATTTTGAACCTTCCTTTCTCAATGTGATGTTTTTCAGGTATGCATCAAAATATCATAGGAATACTGATTGTGATTATCAGAAACAATAGAAGGAATATTATCGAAACTACGTGAGAATAATAGTCTACATAATTCTCAAATTTCTGATCATACAGATTATAAATGCTCCCAAATGTGACCTCAAGGTACACTTCAAAAACAATTCTGAATATAGAGCTAAAGAAAAATTCATTCTTGATTTGGCTGAATCTTGATCCGAAGTGAGAGAGAACTCTGCTTCATCAATCATTTTCCTTTTTGAGTTTTCTAAATTTCATGTTAAGAGCTCTTACCTGTCGCATTTGGAAGTTCAACATACGCATGTGATCATAAAAATTATTGCATTGAATATCAAAAACAGAAGCAAAGAAAAGAGGACATCAGATCAGTTTAAAAATAAATTTGTAGATTCTATGCTTTGGTTCTCATACCTGTAGTCAAATGGTTTTCTCCCCTCTACTTTAGATTCATCGATATGCATTAGGAATATCTCCGAGAAATAGCTGATCTCAAAGTTGGCAATGCCAAGGTAACTGTAGAATGTGACCATAATTTTTGGGAAATTTAGTGTCATCATTCCAGTAAATTGGATTATTTGATAAATATTGATTAGCATCCACATTGATGAAAGTCCTTGTCCAAACACTAGTGAAACAGCCATTTGAGCTCCCATTCCTATAATACTTAACAGATCAACTATACCTGCACCAATTGCTGATGAAACAGCTGATCCAACTTGTTCAACAGTTGGTGATGGCTCTACCTCTTGTATTTCACAAACAGAAGGTTCTCCTGTTCAGTTATAATATTCCTCAATTTGACATTGGTTGTTTCACCCATCACTTGAAAGAGTATTTGCATCATCTCATGATTCTCCAGTCACAATGAGGCCATCTCCTCAGATATTAACTCATTTGTTCTGAGTGCCTTCCTTATATTTGTATCCAGTTTTACAGAAGACACATTCATTTTTATCAGAATTAGGAACCTCAGTTTGTAAGCAAGCAGAGCATACATCTTTGGATAATATAGAGTCGTAGACGCAGATATGGTTAGTCTCGATGGTCTTTCAGTCAGAGGAGCATCCATCTCCATCTATTGTATTCCCATCGTCTCACATTTCGTTTGATGTTTGGATCCCATCACTTCAATATTCAGTGCAAGTGTCAGGTCTTGAAGGAAGGTGTCTAAATCCTGAACTGCAGGATATGCAATTGTCTTTTTCTGTATTTGGATATGCAAATATTCCTCATGATGTGCATTGATCTTTAGCTGCAGATGAGTCATACACGCAAATATGATTGTATTCAATAGCTTTACAATCACCAGAGCATCCATCTCCATTAATGGCATTTCCATCATCTCATACTTCACCAGATGTCTGGATCCCATCACCACAGTATTCTGTTCAGGCGTTCGGATTAGAAGGAACATGTCTGAAGCCTCTACTGCATGGAATTCAAGAATCTTTTGCATCATTTTGATACCCAAATATCCCACAAGATTGGCATTCATGCTTAGGAATACCTGAGTTGTAAACACATATATGGTTATACTCAATTGCTTGTCAGTTTGCAGAGCAGCCATCATTGTCAGAAGTATTAGCATCATCACAAGCTTCACTAGGAGTAACGATTCCATCTCCACAAATCTCTGTGCAAGAGTTAGGGTCAGATGCTTGTATTCCATATCCTGATTGTCATTTGACATTGACTAAAGGAATGAAATAAGGTTATCCTTACTATTTCCTGCGCTAACTTCATGAGGGTATACAAAATACTGTGGCTGGACTGCATTCATGGAACCTGTCTCGTTCCATCGGAGTCTAATTTCAGCAGTACTGATGTATTCAATCCATTTCACATAGACTTGATAAAGGTTATTACTGTCCATGGCCATTTGGAAGCTATACCCAAGTTCGATGTCAATTATACGAGAGGAGGAGAAATTAACGAGAGAAAATAATTTCAGAGATATTTTCTCTTAATATGTGACTTGGTTTAACAATTGCATTAATGAAGCTTCAAGAGGACTTACTCTTCTGAGTCGTGATCCCCTGACACTTTACTGACTCCATCTATAGTATTCATAATCAACTTGATTTTATGTATTAAAGAAATTTAAGAGCAAATTTTCTTGAATTTTTTTAAGCAAAATATTTCCAAAAATGTTACCAATGTTAATCCATCCTTTATTATTCTTCTTAAGATTAAAGTTGTAAGTCTCTGTTCTTGGAGGCTTTAGTAAACTTCTAAATTCGGCCATGACGTTATCATATCTTGAACCCTAAAATTTATTAAAACTTCTTAACTTGCCCAAATCAAAGAACTTCCAAGAGTAATTCCCCCATAGCTAAAGTTGATATTAGAAACATTCCTTCTTCCAAGGAAGCTTCCGTTAATTTTGTAGTACTCAGCTAGAACCTTGCCAGTCTCAATCAGGATGATCTTATAAGTGACTATTCCTTCTTTGTTTACTCTGAGAGTGTACTCATAAGTACCATCTCCTTTGTCAGTCATCTTGGTACTTATCTCATTGTCGAGAGCTGTTGAAGCAGGAGATGCAGCAGTTCAGTCGTATATTGTTGACCATGTACAGTGGTTCTTCACTAAAATATAGAAATCGTCCCCTCCAGAGGTTAAGGGATTTCCTCCTGCATTCCTTGCTTGGACTTTGATCGTTAGGTCTGTGAATGGGAGCAATGTTGCTGGGATTGAAGAGATTACTCCACTTTGAGTTGGGTTTGCTTGTCAGCCTAACTTATTTGACAAAACTTCTTATTAAAAATATCTTACCTGCAATCTTCAAAAATAAGAGCATCATAAGAGTTACTAGCTCTTTCCTGGCAAAAATATGAGACCCTACAAAATGAATAGTTTATTTTGATTAATAAACAATGATTTAAGTTACCAAAAGGCCTGTGATAAATATCTTAAGCATGAATTATTAGCACGAATATTTTTTCACATCCCAAGCTAGATTATTATCTAAATAATTTGATATTATGGCCGAGAGTAGTAATACTGCTGTAAAATTCATAAGACCAACTATAAGTCAGTCAGATGTTCTACATCTCCCTCTCTACTGCCTCATTGGAGTTATCCAGACAGAGATAAATCAATATTTTAAATTATGATTTGCTAATTTTCTTGGTTAAAATCTAAGGAACAGATTTGGATATTTCTTAATTTATGTGTGAGTGAGCCAAGTTTAAAATAGCCTGTACACTATGGGGATCAGAGAAATAAACGAAACTTATTATTCTTTGTTTTGAGATCCAATTTAGAGATATACACAACACTTTATGAAATTCGATATTTCTGAGGAAAATGCTAATCTTGGGAGAAAAATGACGAACTTTTTACTTGAAGGTTTCTTCTAATTTTGGACTCTTGAAAACTGAGAAAACACGACTAAAGCCTAATCTCAAGCATATAAAATTCTTAAGAAAGCTTGAGTAGCTTACAAGAGGGATTAAGAACATTATTAGAGAGCTAATTATTACATATTTATAGATGAGGTGTTGTAAAATAATACGTATGTAGACTTACTCTTCATAGCTCCTTTTCATCAACTTTGTAGCATCTGAACCCCTTGAATTATTCTCCACAGAGAGCTTCATTGACTTATCCCAAGACTATGAAGCCTTCCTCTAAATTTCTGTAAGCCTGCTTGTCATTGCCTTCCATTTAAGAGTTGTTGGAAGAGAATAGAAATTATTGAAGAAAGACCTTCACTGATTTCCTTTACTACTAATAACAGCCAAATGAGTCAGAGAATAACTTGAGATTCATGCAGATCCTCATGAAATGTTCCGGAAGAAGCTCCTTGACCATCTACAGACCAATGGAGAGCTTCTAGCCCATAGCTCTCCTGTCTGAAGGATCCATCTGCAAAGTTAGCTCCTGTTTTCTAAAAATCGGATTAGTTTCTCAACTTTTTGGATAGGGCTGTAAGGCCAGAGTTTGGCACAAAAGCATGTTTGATTAATTATTGGAGCACAAATTAAGGTTAGAATGGAACCTCTTTTAGCCATGCAAGGAGTTTTAGAAAAAGTGGGTTAACAAGAATTTTGAATTTCTTGATAGATTATTAGTTTAGGTCATCATAAAATCTCGATTTGTACGAAAGCTAATATTATTGATAGAAAATGAGAAGAGAGAAGGTGAAGGTTCAGAAATGAATGTTGATATGATAAGGGTAATTTCTAAAGCTAAGATTTGTGCAAAAGAGTAAGATTAAATACGAATGACGTATTCAATTTTTGAAATTATTTGCTATTATTTAATATTAACACGTGATGACGTAATTGAGAAAATATATAATAATTATGATAATTCTAAAACAATCACTTCCTTTCTTATCGCCAAAATAAGCTTATATCAATGCTAGATTAATAATTTTATAGTTAAAGAAAGACTTTCTCCTCTCTCATAACACTCCGAGTCTCCATCTAAAGTAAAAATCCACTATTCGTTTGTATTTATCTCTAAAACTTCTAAAGCTCCTAAAAATCCTTCCAAACACGACCCAACTAATAAAATCTGTACCATATTGAGCTCTCTAGTTCTTCAACTTCTTATCTTACCTTAACAGCACTGGGAGGCTCCCTCTTTGGTCTATCACTCGCCATTTTATTGTTCTCCATCCGTGTAATTCTTTAACTCCAAATATATTTCTCTATATAAGCCTATCTCTAAGGGGTTTTGGGGTTTTGGGGTTTTGGGG